TGATAAAGGATATTCAAAGTCCAAAATATATAAAGAACTTTCAAAAATTCTTTAGTCCAAAATATATAAAGAACTGTCAAAGCTCAATAATTAGGGTACAGTCCAGTAAAAATGGGCAAAAGATTTGAACAGACCCTTTACCAAAGAAGATATACAGGTAGCAAACAAGCCCACGAAGAGATGCTAAACATCAACGGTCTTTAGAAAAATGCAAATTAAAACTACAATGAGATACTAGAACACATATCATTATGTCTAGCATTTAAAAGACTGATCATAGCACATGTTGGGGAGGATGTAGAGGAACTGGTGTTCTCACCCTGCTTGTGGAAATGTTAAATGGTATACTTTGGAAAAAAGTTTTTTCTGAAGTGAAACATATACTTTTTTTTTTTTTTGAGACAGAGAGTCTCCCTTTGTGCCTAAACTGCAGTGCAGTGGCACGATTTCTTGGCTTACTGCAACCTCCGGCATCTGGGTTCAAGTGATTCTCATGCCTCAGCTTCTCGAGTGGCTGGGACTACAGGTGCATGCCACCATGTCCTGCTAATTTTTGTATTTTTAGTAGAAACGGGGTTTTGCTGTGCTGGCCAGTCTGGTCTCAAACTCCTGGCTTCAAGCAATCTGCTCACCTCCGGCCTCCCAAAGTGCTGGGATTACAAGCGTGAGCTGCTGCACCCAGCCTTGAAATTAAACATGTACTTGTCATATGACCCAGCAACTCCACTCCCAGGAGAAATGAAAGTGCATGTCCTTACAAAGACTTAGGCCAAATGTTCACAGCAGCTTTATTGGTAACAACAGCAACAACCAAACTAGAAACAACTCCAATATCCATCTACAGGCAAATGGATAAACGGTCTGTGGTATATGCATACAATGGAATACTGTTGAGAATAAAAAGGAATAAGCCATTGAAACATGCAGAAGATGGATAAGTCTCAGAATGATTATGCTGACTGAAAGAATCCAGACCAATAAAGAGTACATATTGTATGGCTCCATCTATTATACAATTCTAGGAAATGCTAACTAACCTACAGAAAGCAGATCTACAGTTGCTTAGAATGGAGAATGTAGGTAGGGGCACCAGCGGAATTGCAATGTGATTTCCTTAGAGGATATTTATTATCTTCATTGTGGTGATGGTTTCTCGAGTACACATGTACATCAAAACTTATAAAGTTGTATACATTAAATGTATGGTTTACTGTATGTAAATTATACATCAACAAAGGCGTTAAAAATGGAAAATAAATCAGAATGCTGTTAGGATGGTGCTGCTCGACGAAACTGTACAGATGTTTCTCTTAGAAGCCAAGAAATCTACTTCTCTCCTGCATCTATGGCCTTGAACTGCACTTTCACTAGAGCACTTTCAGCTTGGGGCAAAAAATAAGTGGCTGAGTGTGGAGAAAGATTTTGTTACTTCCTCCTGTGGCCTATATGTGTGCAGAGAGGAAGAAATAGAGTTCACAGTCATAGTCCTCAAATGAAGAAGGAGTAAAGGAGTAATAGGGTCACAGCCAGGACAGGCCCCAAGGATAAACAGGCAAGAGCTTATATAGGCAGATAGGCATCCTTCTGTCCATAACATGCTTAGAATAGGTGCAGTGGTGGCAGAGCAGAGGGGTGTGCACTTCTCTGTATAACATGCCCTTTCACTTCCGTGTATCAGAAGACTTTTTACAATCAAGGTCGTTTTCAGAGAGAACAAAATGAAATGTCCTGGTAGCATTGATAAGGACATAAAAGGAATGGGTTGCATGGCTCATCAAGATCCATTGATGCTGGGCGTGGTGGCTAATGCCTGTCATCTCAGCACTTTGGGAAGTTGAGGCGGGCAGATCACTTGAGGTCAGGAGTTCGAGACCAGCCTGGCCAAAATGGTGAAACCCTGTCTCTACTGAAAAAGGAAAAATGAGCAGGGCATGTGTGGCAGGTGCCTGTAATCCCAGCTACTTGGGAGGCTGAGGCAGGAGGGGAAATCACTTGAACCTGGGAGGCGGAGGTTGCAGTGAGTCAGGATGGCACCACTGCACTCCAGCCTGTACAACAGAGTGAGACTCCGTCTAAAACAAAACCAAAACCAAAACAACAACAACAACAACAGACGATCCATTGAGACAGTGGGTTTGTCTGTGAGAAGCAAGGGCCATCTTCCCTTTCACTTTTCATTACCACATACTGCGATTGTTGGTATGGTGGATGCCTAGTGTGTGTAGACAGAAAAAAAGAGAGAGGCGCTACACAGAGTGGTTAGAAACAGATAAGAGAAACCACAAGAGATAAACAGAATCAGGTCTCCAGTTTTTTTTTCAAGTTAGAAAAGGCCTTAGCATCTGGACACAACAAAGAAGTATTGGAAATTCAGTGGTCAAAGATGCTTCATGTAATGACTCCGATTTTTTTTTTTTTTTTTTAAGGCAAGAATCTGGTAATGTGATAGTAACTAGCAGGGAGAGGTGTAAAAGAAATATATGAAAATAATATTATATCACTGGGCTCTTTTGTCAGTGGGTCAGGTTATTACCTCAAATGGCAGTATAACTATTACTGATGTGTAGAATTTTGCCTTTAAAAAATGCTTGAGAGCAAAATCACCTGAGCTATTCATAACACATTAGCATCCATAACACATTAGCATCCATGTCCTTTAGATCACCAGAAAGACACAAAAAATAAGAAAGCATCACTTGAATTTGGTTACTGTTAGGATACACAAATCAAAATAGCATATAAGACAATTCATATTTAAGTCAAAAAAATTTTTGGCCTGACTCTATGAATTTATGAAATTGTGTAAAGCAAGGAAAAGGCATTTAAAAAATGTCTCTGGCCTGGGCGAGGTGGCTCACGCTTGTAGGTGGATTGCTTGAGCCCAGGAGTTTGAGACCAGCCTGGGCAACATGGGGAAAAACTGTCCCTATTAAAAATACAAAAATATTTAGGTGTGGTGGTGTGCACCTATAGTTCCAGCTACTTGGGAGGCTGAGGCGACAGGATGGCTTGGGAGGCAGAGGTTGCAGTAAGCTGAGATTGTGCCACTGTACTCCAGCCTGGGTGATGATAAAATGAGACCCTGTCTGGAAAAATAACACGTCTCTGAGTTGGTTTCAAGGAATTGCATAAATGAATACCTGGGAAATGCTTTGGAGTATTGTGGAGTATATATAGGAAGGCATCTTAAATGTTTACCAAGTTTGAGAGGTCAACAATAATAATAATAGCATTTTCAGTTCATGGAAGATTGGTAATTTCTGTTCACCAAAATAGCATGTATTTAATTATATTATAGATTAAAATATCAGAGTGCATGGAAATAGTACTAAAACTGGTAATCTTTTTAAGATTACACACGTTTTGGAGGGAAAAATATATGGTGGATTACTGTGGCCATTCAGCATCTGAAACCCCTACTTTAGGAGAATTCCCTACATTTATAACCTGGGTGGCAGAGGCATAAAAGTCCCAGATGCCTGCTTTCCCTTGCTTGGTAGTTAGTATGCAGGCATATAAACTGATTTCACCATTCGGATCTAGCTGCACCAGATTTTCACCTGGAAGCTAGTAAAGAAAAACAAAACAAATGGTAGTATCTGCAAAGCAAAAACAATAACCAAACCTAGGGATGATGGAGCTCTCTCTCACTTTGGATGAGCCAACTGTAATGGTTGTTGGGAAACAAAGTTCCAGGTAGAGAACTTGTAGCCAGGCTGTCGGGATGGCAGTTGTGAGTTCTGACTCCCTGCGGAGAACCACTACTCTTTTCAATTAACTTATCTAATTAGAAAAAAGCTAATCACTATTCAATATACAAAATCTGTAGAATATACAAAATCTGTAGAATCTGTATGTATGTGTGTATATACACACACATAGGTTTTGTTTTTAAAATTGGGATCATACCCTAGTTTTATGTCTTTTAATCCAGTTTTCGATCTTTTCTATGCTTTTCTTCGACCATGCAATTCTAAATAACTACATCATTTAACTATTCTTCTACTGAATATTTAGACTCTTGAATATTTTGCTGTCAGAAGTTTCAAAGAATACTCTTGTAAATAAACTTTACTATACCTCTAATTGTTGCTTTAGGATAAATTCTTAGATTGCAGATTACTAAAACTCAGTGAAATCTGAGTCCTTTTAATTCTCTTCATACGGTTATAAAATTGTTCCCCAGAGATAGCTGACAGACTCTTGAACCACCAATGTGTTTTGAATATAAAGCACTGGCACTGAACTTTAATAAAACTGCAATGTCAGACATGAAAATATTTTTAAAACTAATGACTATAGTAGCTGTTATGAGAGCATGCTACTGTCCTGACATGGCTATGTGCTTTAAAGACGTCATCACATCGATTGATTGAAGGAGTGAGTCAGGGTCTCGCTCTGTCACCCAGGCTAGAGTGTAATGGCATGAGCATGGCTCACTGCAGCCTCAATCTCCCAGGCTTAAGCAATTCTCCTGGGTAGATGGGACTATAGGCATGCATCACCACACCTGGCTAATTTATTTTTACTTTTAGTGGAAATGGGATCTGGCTACATTGTCCAGGCCGATCTCAAACTCGTGAGGTCAAGCAATCCTCCCGCCTTGGCCTCCCAGAGTGCTGGGATTACAAGTATGAGCCACTGCACCTGGCCGACATTACCACAATGAATCCTCACACTGAAACTTTTTACTGGTACTTTCAACCTCATCAATAAAATGGGGTGACATGGCCAAATGTTTTGCTGAAGGTCACATAACTCATGAAATGTAGACTGAGGAATCAAGCATTGTCTTTTTTTTTTTTTTGACTTGAAAGTTCATTTTATTTTCTCTAAACCATTGTAACCCAAGAACTTAAATCCTTTTATCAGTTTTGAAGTGAGTACTTGGGAGGAAGGAAGTATAAGGGAGTTGGAAGCAGTGGAGGTCAGATGGAGAAAGAGTTAAAAAGCATAGTAAGTCTTGGTTAAAAGAATTTACGAATGGACAAAACACAGTGTTAGCAGGGTGTTTCAACCGATGAGTATTTATTCAAAGCCAGAGGTGCACCAGGCACAGCTGTCCACTAGGGTAACAGATACAAACCATGTAACCAATTCACTCATTAGCTTATCTGATTAAGTAAAATACATTTCATAGAAATGGTTATCAAATGCGTTGCAGATAGAAACAGAATATTCTTTATACTTACAGGATCTTATAATACCCTAAACAATTATTAATAAAAACCAGCCAACCCATACAGTAAATAGCAAACCACCAGTTATTTTATTTTAGTCAGCAAAGGAGAAAAACATACAAATCTCATGCTGAAATAGATTTTAGCATTACTGAATGCTGAATACAGACATCCTGTTTCAAAACTACTAACATAATCCACTTACAATCTTAAAACTTCAGTGTTTTTTATCCTGCATTAAATCACTATGATATCTTTTGGCTTAAAAATTAGGTTTGGTTTCAAAAATAAGTTTAATTTAGTACTTCAGTCACATGCCTCACAGATTCTTGAACAGGACTGGGCAAGAATCAGTCCAATTAACTATTAGTTACAGCAAGAAAGCAAAACATAAACAGAATGTTTAATCCACCTTGCTTGATATTCTTACCAAAATTGAATTGAGAAATTAAGATACACAGGTGATTTAAACCAGAACATAACAGCAGAACTGAAAGAAAAGACAAAATGTAGATGTTACTTGTTTGAAGCAAAGCTGTCCATTTAGGGCCATTTATTGCGTTTTTGAGACTCATGACTAATTCCTGAAAAGACCACATTGAGTTTGTGGATATACGATGTATCCTTTAGTTTGAACGTCGTTATGAGGGATGTAAGGGTGAGGCAAGAGGGTGGGAAGGACTAAAAAGGCACAGGGTGGAGTGTTTGCTGATGCCATCATGGTAATTATCCAACAGAGAATCCGTTGGGGGCGCTTCCTGAGACCTCCAGAGATGGATCTATTTTCCTCAGGCAGCAGCAGCAGCAAAAACTTCCTCAGAGAGGCAAGGTCAACTTTTATTGCACAAGAACCAAAATTATTTCCCTCCCCCATTTTCTGAGCTGGAGACCTCCACATGCAATGTCTGGATTCTCATCCATTTGCGCCTCTGACCAGCAGAGCGCGCTCAAACAAAACGCCTCGGGATGCACTTTCTTCAAAGGGAAACATGAGGTATACTGATGGCTCAAGCAATCTGGTCAGTCACCATTCTCAAGCAGCTTCTGTAAGTTATTCTGTATCTTGAAATAAAAGAAAAGAACCTCCTATTATTAAATAGAATGCAGTATATTAAGGGCATATTTGCTATAGTCTATATGGTGTTCTAGATTATTTCACCTACACAAGGGTTAAATTTAGGTGAGGCAAATAGATGCTTTTTCATAAACTAGAACTGTTTGACAATCCACTTTCTTTGAGACAGGGGCTGGCTCTGTCACCCAGGATGGAGTGTGGTGACATGGTCATGGCTCACTTCAGCCCTGACTTCCTGAGCTCAAATCCTCCTCCCACCTCAGCCTCCCAAGTAGCTAGGCCTTCAGGTGTACACCATCATGCCTGGTTAATTTTTGTACTTTTTGTATAGACAAAGTTTCATCATGTTTCTCAGGCTGATGTAGAACTCCTGGGCTTAAGTGATCCTCCTGCCTCAGCCTCCCAAGGTGTTGGGATTACAGGTGTCAGCCACCATGTATGGCTGACAATCCAATTTAAAATGAGAAAACAGAGGGCTTAAAAGAATGGTGAAAAGATGAAAATGTCAGTAGAGACTGAGATAAATGAGATGGAAGAAAAAGAACAAGGAACCGGCAACACCAGTGTGACCCAAATGCATTCGAAGACAATGGGAAATTGGGCTTTACAGAGCCCATTTGATGGTTTTAATCAGAGAAGTGCACATAATCATGTTGAACACTCCTGTTATTCCAATTACATATTATTGTTTTACATTTCCAAAAGGTTGTGGATTTCACAGGGACAGAGACCACTCATGCCAGATGTTTGGATCTTAAGATGGGTCCAATGCTAGACATCAAAAGTGTTCTCAGTAAATGACTATTGAATAAAGGCACTTTTAAGAATTCAGATCAAGAAATTCTCAACAACCAGCTCTGTGATGGGATCAAAAGAAAGAACATATTGTTTTGGAGGGGAACAGTCTGTGATGTACTATGGGTGTTCTCAGGTGAGGGACGAGGAAGGGGATCCGATATGTAAGTGCCAGGAATGGCATGCCTGCTCCTGAGCCACGCAACACCACAGAGACATGCTTTGCCCCTGAAACTGAGGGTCACAGAGCCGAAGGAGCGGATGAATTATGTGGGTAGTAAGCGGTAGAACACGGATAAGAACAATGGTCTGACTCCAAAATTTATGCTCTCTCTGCTCTGCTGTTCCACCATTAATTTCACTTCCAGAAGTAAGAAAAATAAGTCTTCTTTCATTGCCTTCTTCCTCCACTTTCCTGCTTTGTTTCTTCCTCACCTATCCCTGAAGACCAAGGATAAATGGACAAACAGGAGTGGGAGGTAGAAAAAGGAATAAAAAAGAACCGACATCCAAAATGACACACACACAGAAAAGCCAAAAGTCAAACAAAGGAGGGAAATCAGCAATGTATAGAGGAAGACCCAAATGGCCAATAAATATATAAGATGTTCAGCCTCAGTCCTAATTAGGAAAATACAAGTAAAAACCATAATGAGATCCAACTTTACACTATCTGACTGGTAGTGGGAGGCCTGAGTGGGTTAGGATGGTGCCCGTGGGAAGAAACTTTGAGGAGACATTTGAAGACACAGTTCACTGCATTTGCCAACTAGTCAATCAGTGGCAGGTGAAAAGGAGGAGTTAAAAATGCTTCTTAGATTTCCAATGAGGATGACTGAAAGAGCAGTGATGCCATGAACAGAAATAGGGAAGTTATAAGCAGGGAAAGATCATGAGGCTTAGACATCACCGGCCCCTGAAGACGAGAAGCAACTGCTGGTATGGAATATAAAGGGCTGAGCCACGTCTCAGACCTCCGCAGCCTGGGGCTGCTATTTCACAGGCAGGCTGTGCTGTGCTAGTGCCCAACTGCCTCGGAGGAGAAGTGCAGACAAATCGAAAAGAGCACGGGTGTGGCCTGGTACCTCTTTTTTATTACTTAGATTCTTTTGAGCAATGTGTGCAACTTATAACTTTTTAGAACATCAGCATGTGCATTTTAACCCCAAATCCACTTTTTACCGAATCAGTTTCTCCTTTGAGACAAAGGTGGTTTACACTGGTGCTCCCGTAAGCCTCCCTGGCCTCCCTGCTAGGTTGTCTGAACCCTGCACAAGACCTGCAGCTGTTGGCCTGCTGTGAACAAGCCCTTCTGTTTTGAGTTCCCTGATTATAGAATGTGCTGTCCTGGCCAGGCCTGGCGGGAGAGTGGAAAGAAACACAAAAGAAGGCGGCAGGATCCCGTGTGTTTCTGATCCAAAGAAGATCATTGGTCTGTCAGAGTGAACAAAATTGAAAATACCATTCCATTCTCTGGGTTGCATGAAAGTCAAACGTTTGTAAGCATTTCCTTACCAAAAAAAATTGTTTATCTTTAATTCTCAGAACCTAATGTTTTAGAAAGGAAAAGAAGCTAACCCATAGCTTCTCTAGGTTGATTTTGGATGTAAAGAACTTTCCACATAGAATGATTCAATATGAATCCTCTGACCTGACTTTGCTTAAAACATAAGTTTGGAAACTCCTTTGCTCTCAATACTTCAGCTGTTAAATACTAGATAACATTTAGTTTAGAAAAACGAAGATAATTTTACTCATTTGTATTTAATATGAAGAAATATGTCTTCCCAAGTAAGCATAACTACTATTATGTAAAGTTACCAAGTACTGGGGGTGAGAGCAGTTCTAATTGAACACTGGATTCTTCACTCTAAACCTTTCCTGAAGGATTAGGGTAAGAACAAAGTAGTTAATCAGATAAAGGAGAAGAAAATAAGACATGTAAATCAGGTTCAACTTCTGGGAGATTTCTGGCATGACTATTTTCTTCTTCAGCTCACCCTCCTGCTCCCTTGTAAGAACGCCACAAGCCAAGGACAGATTTGCCCTAGTTTGGATTGTAGATGCTTCCAGGACAAGGTTCATCTGTGGCCTTATCAACAAGGCCTAAGGCTGAATTCTGAGGAACAGTGAAGCAGAGAGCTTCTAAGCACAATTTTGCAACCCTGGTTTAGGTTCTAGATCTGCTGACTTTATTTATAGTTGTATATTTTATTTATATTTATATATTTTTATAAATATATTTAAAAAGTTATATAATTTATTTCTATTCATATATTTTTCTTTTAATACTCTCTCAGCAGAATCATATCTGCTGCTTTTCTAGGTGTGTCGCCTTGAGCAAGCTAATTTGAAACTTGGATTCTTCCCCTATTAGAGAGAGAACAATGCTGCCTATCTTCCACGGTTCTGATAGGGCTTACACTCAATATTTTATGTATGGGAACAATCAGCCTGGGTGGAGTTGGGGCTGCACTTTCTGACCAAGTCAGTGGTTGGTCTGCAGTTCGCTCCTTACCGTGTCCCTACACTGAGCCCCGATGTCAGTGGTCACTTACTGTTGGGCCCTGTGCTATAAAGTTAATATCTATAAAGCTAATCAAGGAGGAAAACCAAAAACCCACAAGATGATGTACTCCAAGGAAAATGAGATTCAAACCTATTTATTTGTGGAAATAAAAAATATTCTTCCACATTTACTATGAAAACCCCTTGGCCAGGTTTGATCCTGTAGGTTTACTGCGGCACACTAATGGCATTTGAGTGTGTAATCCTTGACCTAACGAGGTCAAGGCAGTCAGTGGGCACTATGGTGACTGCCCCCATACACAGGAAAGAAATAGGTCACCTTTTCTAATTTCACTATGTTAGCTGTAAGCTCTTGACAGAGAACCTCCACATTGAATTGTACTTGTGACCTCAGGCCGGATGGTGCTGTCTGTCTGTAAGAAAAAAGAGAAAAAGTATTACGGACAGTGATGACAAGGAAAGAAGTGGAATGAACACATTTAAAATTTATTTGAACAGAAAATTGGTTTAGAATAGAAGAGAGTGACCATTTCATTTGTTAATATTAGACAAAGCCCTGCAGTAGTCTGCAACTCCAGGCTAGATGTTTAGGGAACTGATTCCTAAAAGCTCATCTAGAAACCTCTTAAGTGGTATTTGTTTAAGTGGATATGGTGTGTTTTGGCTTCCAAACAAAAATCAGGCAATTATTTTCAAGCACGTGGTTTCTTAGAACCCTTTTATTAACCCCTATTATCCTCTCTATCTCCACTAGAGCATAAACTTACAAGAATCATTGTGCTTTTCAGTTATTTATACTAGAACTTTAAAAGTTTAGGAATGTCTTTATCTAGTTAATCAAATGTCCACTGAAATATGAGACTTTTGTAGTTCCTTCTTTGAGACTTATCATACAACTATAATTGCCCTTGTCTTTTAATCGGACAGATGTAATCAATGTTTACTGCCTGAATATTTATGGCATAGGCTCTTACTCTGGGGTCCACTGAAATCCTAAAGCAGCTAACACTGGAAAATCTGGAGCTGCACATATATTTTCTGGAAAGATGGTCTAAAGCTATTTTTCAGACTTTTGTGTTAAGGTTAAGAACCATGGTCTGTATTGTTTCTATATTTCTTGGTTGTGATTTGATTATATATATACACGTATGTGTATATCTTTACATATACATATGTAAAGATACAGTATCATTCTGTTGCCTAGGCTGGAGGAGTGCAATGGCACAATCGTGGTTCACTGCAGCCTCATACTCCTGGGCAAAAGGGATCCTCCCGCCTCAGCCTCCCAAGTAGCTAGGGCTACACAGGTACGCGTCACTACGGCTGGCAATCATCTTACGCAGTATTATGGGTGTCCACAATGGAGGTTAGCAGCCCCAACCGCTCCTCCAGGGTATTAATTCTATATCTCATGTAGAAGGTCGAGATGATAAGTGCACAGACACTGGAAAGGGATGAAAGAGAAACATGTTCATTAGGTTAATGGCCAGGATCTGATGTTCATAAAACAACTAGGGCCAATGTGGTAAACTCAAGGCAAGGCATTTTCCAAAATAACTTGGTAAAGAGACTTTAAAAACGTCCTTTTTAAACTGGCTGATGCTTGTCATAAAACTTACAGCTAGAAGAGACTTAAAACCCTCTAGCCCAAGTCCCTCAATTTGTAGATAATGGCCATTCTAATAGCATTGGTCAGAGCCAGATCGAAGTTGGAGTACCAAGCCAGTGTACTACTGACCTCTGCTAGAACAGCCTGGGCAGACAGTCCCCAGCCGTGTGCTCTGGTGACTCCCTGCTTTATCTGGAAACTAGACTGGGCATGTCTTCCTTGGTTGTGAGGAACAGCCTAGAACTGGGTCAGGCTGTTTGCAGAAGAACAATTGGTTACAAACGAGAAGTTAAAAAAGTCAATGCCTATATTTTTGGTAAAGGGGATGAGGATAACATTTTCAAGTTGTGTTGGCCCCTATTTAGGGGACATGGGACAGATGGCAAAACAAAATTATAGCTACATGGAAGGAATAGGTTCTAGTGTTGAATACCACTGTGGAATGACTAAGTTAACAATGATACAGTTTCAAATAGCTACAAGGATACTGAATGTTCTCAACACGAAGAAATAATAAGGGTGATGGATATGCTAATTATCTGGATCTGATCGGTATACATTATGTATATCAAAACATCACTGTGTACTCCATAAATATGTACAATGATTATATGTCAACTAAAAAAATAAATCACAAGGGTAAAGATGCTTCATAATTCACAGAGAAATTTCCCAACGAATGGTACCTACTCAGAACTTAGTCCTCTGCGGGGTTTGGCATAACCATGAAAATGTGACTTAAGCCTAAGGAAAAAAAGCCGCAGTAGGAGACAGAAACTGTCAAAGAAAAGATGTGGGTTACATTTCAGACAACTGAGATTTACAGTGGCTCTATGCAATGTGAAGAGATTATTCCTTTAGAGAATGGAATCATTTTCTTAAGGCATTCACGGTAAATTCACGTGCTTACACAATTGCGTAGAATATAAGAATATGGTGAAGCATCAGACACTTCTGAGACTTGACTTTATGTAAGATTCCAACAGTTTCTGACTGACCTGTTGGGAAGAAAACAAAAAGCAACTGTTTAAAACCATAACACTTCTTTGATCCAGCAATATCCCCGTGGGGTACTTGAGAGAAGTAATTATTCCCAGGTAAAAGAAATCAGAGAAAGTATCAACTGAAGCCTCCCAGCTGTGATTTTAACCAGGAGTTACAATTCCTTCCAACACATTTCACTGAATACATACCTCTCCATAGCGTTCTTGGTGTCAAGCATTGTGTTGGAGTCAATGGTAAACAATATAACAATATCCTTGCTCTCTTACCAGTATAGCTGGTTATTAGAATAAGTAGTAAGTAAGAAACTTGAGTTATACTGGAAAATTTTTTGCTTTTTTGAGACAGTCACTTTGTTTCCTAGGTGATGGAAGCGTGATCACAGCTCACTGCAGCCTTGAACTCCTGGACTCAAGCAATCCTCCTGCATCAGCCTCCCAAGAAGCTGGAACTACCAGTGTGTACCACACCCAGCTGATTTTTAAATTTTTTGTAGAGATGGGGTCTTACTATGCTGCCCAGGTTGGTCTTGAAGTCCTTGGACTAAGCAATCTTCCCACCTCGGCCTCCCAAAGTGTTGGGATTACAGTTCCAGAAATTTTTGACACATAATCTCATGTATTCAGAATCATGGGGTGACCTCCATGAAAGCTGTTCACTTTTATATACCTTACTGTAAGCATGGAACTGGGTACTGTCTGCTAAATGAATAAGTGAATTAATATGCAAACACCTATAATACAAATGGAGGAAAGGGAATGGGAAAAGCAGTCATAAGGTGAAACACAGGGGCCCTTTAAAAGTTACAGATAGGCCCAGTGTGGTGGCTCATGCCTGTAATCCCTGCACTTTGGGAGGCCAGGTGGGTGGTTCACTAGAGGTCAAGAGTTAGAGACCAGCCTGACCAACATGGTGAAACCCTGTCTCTACTAAAAATACAAAAAGTAGCCAGGCGTGGTGGCATGCACCTGTAATCCCAGCTACTGAGGAGACCGAGGCACGAGAATAGCTTGAACCCAAGAGGTGGAGGTTGCAGTGAGCCGAGATCGGGTCATTGCACTACAGCCTGGGTGACAGAGCAAGACTCTGTCTATTAAAAAAAAAATCGTTACAAATAGACATCTCCAACCCTTCTCAAAAAAAAAAACCCCTAAAACCTTCATTCCTTACCGTGTGCAGGGAGACTCTTGGCTTTTCCTTCGGGTACTCTGTTCACGTGGGCATCTGCCCGAGTTGGCTTTGCTTCTCCCTTGGAGACATTCAGAACTGTTTGGGATTCTGTCACATGGAAATCTAAGCCAAAATGGAGCTGGGTAAGTTTTCTCTCCAATGTATTTAAAAACAGGATTAACCACCAAGTAAATCAATCCCTTAAATATGCATAATGGTCAAGAATATGAATGGATCTTCTCACAAGTTAGTTGTGGTGGCTGGGGGTGAAATTGAATGCTTAAGCAAATAAGTAATAAAGTGGTTTAAGGATAGTCTTTCATTTTCCAACCAACTCACATGGATGATTCAGCTGTAACAACTGACAATATTATTGAAGAGGGAAGAAAATATTATGTTTCTCTCTCACCACCCCAATATTAAGTCTATTTAAGAAACCTCTGTTAAATGTGCATAAAAACGTGTATTTTTCCTCCATTTGTATTATTAGGTCTTTGCATATTAAAGAAATGAATTTTTAACACACAGGCAATTCTTTTCCCTTGAATGCTCAAGGCACCCTTTCTACAGACCCCATTTCTGATTTCTAACTAGGGAAGACTATTTTTTTTTTTATGGGTCAGGGTGGGGATGTTTTGTGGGGAATTAAATTTTAGTCAAAACAATTTCCCAAACCTCGAGAGTTCTCAGATTCAGGAGTCTGAGAACCAGAACTGCTGTATCCTTCCATGTCTTGCATTCTTTGTTGAACTACTCCATCCAGATCTGAGAATTCATCATTGAAATCCTGAAAGGAAACAGTGAAATAAAGACAGGCCTATTTTCCCTTAATAAACAGGCCTTTGTAACTCCCAGCCCTTTCACCTAGGCCTGACCTATGAAACACGGAATAGATGGAGAGATTATCCCGTCCGACTGGGGTTTTCCCACAGATCACTGAGTGGTTACTGAAACATTTTTTTTGGTGGTTAAAATTCAGTCAACAAATAGTCGCCAAGTTGTTTGAAACAACAAATGTCTAGAAAAAAACCCAGGATGCAGATGATTGAGAAGCTTCCAGTGTGAAGCTAAAGAGGTTTCATTGGCACTTTGTAATAAGAAAAACTGATTACTATAGACATATACAAGAGAAAAAAGCAGAGAGAAAGCTCTAAATCCAAGTTTAAATATATAGACAGAAATATTACTAAATTATAATTTTTTAAAAAGTGTTGGAAACAGAAAAGGAAAAATGGCTTTAGCAAATTAGACCCTAAAAGTAAAATTTAAGCTCTTTTTCTTCCTTCAACTAAATCAGAACAGTGTGAGTAATAGTACATTTACATTTTAGACTGATGATGGAGGAGTAAGGGAAAAAGCACAGACGTTCTACTTTGTATTCTATTGGTTCCCCAACGTGCTTTAAGAACTGAAGAGACAAATGGTGTCATTAAAATGTCCTGGCGAAGGTACAATTAGGCTGAGCTTGTAACTTAGTCAGCTGCCAAATGAAGAGACTCATCTTGTAAGCAAATTACCAACCTTTCACCTCGAACTGGCTGTTTTTTGTTCATCTCAACACTCATTTCAACTTCATACAAGCATTTATAGAAGGAACATTGAAAAGTCTTCAATTTAATGATTTCTTGAATGCCTATCTTGTATCAGGCAGTATGCAAAGCTCCTTACATACATGATTGCATTTAATCTTCACAGCTACATCATGAAGCTGGCATTTTAATGGATGAAGAAACTTAGTCAAAGCAGTTAAAGAGCTTGCCTGATAATATAACCTGGCTGGGTGGAGCCCAGATTTTACATCAGGTTTGTTGGATTCCAAATCATATGTGTTACATTGTATTTTGTACTGCTTCCCACTACTGTTTTTCAAGGTAGATTTTTAAGACATTGAGATAAAATTCACATAACATAAAATCCACCATTTAAAATTATGTAATTCAGTGGTGTTTAGAATATTCACAATGTTGTGCACCCGTGACCACAATCTTATTCCGGAATATTTCCATCACCCCCAAAGAAAGCTCATACCCATTAGCAATCACTCTCAATTTCTCCCTCACCCCATTCCCTGGCAAGGAATAGTTTACTTTCTATCCTTATGGCTTGCCTGCTCTGGCCATTTCCTATAAAGGGAATCATATAGTATGTGGCCTTTTGAGTCTGGCTTCTTTCACTTAGCATACTGCTTTCAAGGTCCATCTATATTGCAGCATGTATCAGTACTTCATTTCCTTTTTATGGCTGAATAATACCCCATTGTATAGGTATATCACATTAAAAAAATCCATTAATTAGTTGATGGACATTAGGGTTTTCCCCAACTCTTGGCTATTATGAGTAACATTATTAACATTATCGTACAAGTATTTGTGTGAACACGCTTTCAATCCCATTACTTATAAACTGCTCTCAAGAAAAGATTTGTTGGAGATATTCAAACCAGGAGCTCATATTGTTTCATTAAAGTTGAATATTTATAATCATTTGACATGATTGGAACTCTCTTGGGAAAACCTTATAACCATTATGGGTACAAATCTTATACAGAGGGAGCTACTTCCCACTGGAGATTTACTCTACAGTTTACAAAGTCTAAGGGAATCAATCAAACAATCGCCACCTGTCACTTGGGCGTTATAGCTTTCTTTTCTTTCTTTCTTTCTTTCTTTTTTTTTTTTACAGTTAATTCTGAGCCTGTCTCGTCTTCTCTTCTAAGTTGTGAAGTCTCTGAAGGCAAGAAATAGTTTTAATTTTTCCTGGTATCCTATAGTGTGCACTAGCATGGTGCCCTGAACACAGAAAACATTTAAGGATTTGTGGGATGACTCAGTCCTACCTCAAACAGAGTTGTGAATCCCTCTAAGCCAATATTGACAAGCAAACAGAGCAAGACTTTATGCATGCCTTCACTCACCAAGATAGCCTACTAAGCGTTTATTTCCTTTTGTAGGACAACTCTTCTATTACTTGCAAAAAGTTTATGGCTACTGTGGTTTCCTCTTCTTTAAGACAGGTGTATCCTGTTTCTTCAATTGTGCCTCAAATATTTTGGTCCTAAGCTCTTCCCACACCTCAGTTATGGTGTAAGCACAGGTGTAATTGGGGGATATATTCCCTTTCTTTTTCATTTAGATAGTTTTGTATGCGACTTACCAGAGGCAGAGATGAAGGGCGGTCTTCTCGGAAACTGTTTTCAGTAGAAGATGGATTGGGACTATTACCAACACTTGTATTCTGAAATCATTGGAACAAAATGAAAAACCAGATCAACTATGAAACCATAAGAAATACAGAAGAGAGACAGTAATTGAGGCTCAAGGACATCATACTCACTTCTAAGTGTCCACACACAGATCTTAGTAGTTTGTAAGTTGAATCTCTGGAGAGCAGAGAGACAAATATGTACTGAAAAACAAAACAGAATAATTATGAAGAGATATTCCTGATGAGAAGTGAGTTCAGAGTTCAGAAAAGTATCTGTATACAGCTTTTCATTTTCAAGCAACGTAGACCTCTCTTTGGTCTATATTCTCATTCCTTTCACCCAAACATTCCATTTTTATTCCATTCCTGGAATAAAGTAAATGTATTCTCCCACAGAAGCAACAAAACCCTCAAACCCAGTTTAAGAGTAATAAATAAAGGCAGGGCAAAATGAAGGCTCCAAAACCCTAACATTGGTGCCTCAAACAAGCCCAGAGAAGAAAAGGCCTGAACATTAAGAAAAGGCTGGTGACATTCACCAGATCGCCTGTAAAATCTCTCTCCCTCTGTTTTTGTTTTTAAGGGTATTTAACAATTCCCAAGGGTCTGCTTTCACTGCTCTGACCTAGATTTCCACTGAAAACTTCCCAGTGTCTCTCACAGGCTAGCTCTCTTTCATGCTACTTGCAGATTCTTCCTTGTACAAATATGGAGATTTTCTAGTGGAGACTTATAAGTGAGCTATGGGAAAGGAGTAAAATCAAAGCTAGACAAAACACGAGAAGACAAACGACATCAGGAAAAATGATTTTACCATAAACAATACATTCAGAAAATATAAAAACCTACTTTTTTCTCCATCTATTTATGCCATAGAGTGTTTTCAGACCTCCTTTCCATGAGTTTGTGATTATCCTTCTCATTCACCAATGAGGGAACCTGACTTATTTCAAAGCAAGAACTGTATTAATAAAAGTAATTAATATTGTGGGTTCTGGCGTCAGGCAGATCCAGTTGCAAATGCTGGCTCTGACACGTACTAAGTGGGTGACATTGGGAAAATTGCTCAACCCTTCTAACTTTCAGTTATCTTAACAAGTCATCCATTACAGGGTGTTAGCACTGAACAAATGAGAAAATATAAAAAAAGCATTAGTGTATGCCTGACAAGAAGGAAATACTGATGCCTGTTGACTATTAGTATTAAAAAAAAATCACCAAATAGATTTTAACATATTTTCTAGCTTATCAGAATGGTCTCTTTCATCTTTCCTTTTTTCTTCTTCTCTCCATAGTTTTCTAGTATGGTTAGAAAGGAAATCTATTGCCAGTCATGGTGGTTCATGCCTGTAATCCCAGCACTTTGAGAGGCTGGGGAGGGAGAATCACTTGAGCCCAGGAGTTTGAGACCAGCCCTGAAAACATAGCAAGATCCCATCTCTATTAAAAAAAGAAAAAAACAGAAATGAAATCTATACAATGTAGATTTTATGCTTCACAGAAATAATAGGTAAAAGATGTTTTAAAATTTCATGTGAAAAGTAACCAGACCACTCTCCTTTTCTTGCCAAGTTGAAATACACACCACTTTAGTGCAAATTTTTCTGATTGTATATGTCTTAGGTAGCCCAATAGTCAATTCAGCCCTAGAATTTCTGTATAGGAGGTAGCTCAGGCAACCTGGTAGTAAAGAAGGTCTAAAAATGGATCCCACACCTGCAGTTGCAGAGCAGGTGCAAGTTGTATTTATCTGGAAGGGCTCTGGGGAGATATTGATTGAGGTTATGGAAAGGCTGGCTACCGCCACACCAGGGACTCCTCACTATCATCCTGCCTACCTCCCCCTGTCAGTAAAATAGTGGTTGTTGTTGCTCTTGTTCTTTATAAATATTTATTCCTTTTTTGAGACAGGGTCTTACTCAGTCACCCAGGCTGGGGTGCAGTGATGCTCGATCTCAGCTCACTGCAACCTCTGCCTCCCAGGCTCAAGCAATCCTCCCACCTCAGCCTCCTGAGTAGCTGAGACCACAGGTGTGTGCCACCACACCTGGTTAATTTTTGTATTTTTTGAAGAGACAGTTTTCGTCATGTTGCCCAGGCTGATACTGAACTCCTGAACTTAAGCCATCTGCCTGCCTGGGCCTCCCAAAGTGCTGGGATTACAGGTGTGAGCCATCATGTCTGGATTTGTTTTTTTTTTCTTTTTCTTTGAGGCAGGGTCTTGCTCTGTTGCCCAGGCTGGAGTGTGGCGGCACAATCATGACTCACTGCAGCCTTTACCTCCTGGGCCCAAGTGGTTCTCCTACCTCAACCTCCTGAGAAGCTGGGATCACAGGCATAACCCACCATGTCCAACTAATTTTTGTATTTTTTGTAGCAACGGGGTTTCACCATGTTGCTCAGGATAGTCCCCAACTCCTGGGGTCAAGCAATACTCCCACCTCAGCCCTCAGCCTCCCAAAGTGATGGGATTGTAGGCATGAGCCACCACGCCTAGCCTCCTTTTTTTTTTTTTTAAGACTATTATAGACCTGAGTATATCAGTTTAGCCTGACCCAGCAGATGTTAGGGAAAAAGAAGTCAAGAAAGAATTTTAAGTTTTTGACCTTGGTCAGGCAAGTATAATCAAGTCAGCAGGAAATTCGAAATTGGCAACACTTCTATGAGAATAAATCACCTCGTGAAGGGAAACAGCACTCCATGAATGCCTACAGGCTATGGTTTTTAAAACTAGTCACATAGAATTTTCCTGATTCACCACAGGAGATGAAGATATTTATGGTTTGGAGTCTTGGTCCTCGGCAAGAGGCCCCTCAGGCAGCAAAGCCCAGAGCAGGAGGACAAAGCAAAGGTGCCCTCACTCTGCTGCATACTCACCCTGTCTGTGACCGTTGCTATGATCAGGGCATTTGGCACTAGAAGAGCAGTTTTGGTTTTCTTTATTAGCGTTACTGAGAAAGCTGGAATAGAGATCTGAAACAGAATCACCATGTTAATGCCAGTTCAGACTTAACAGAACAGCACTTCAAATCTTCAAGTTAAAGGAAAAACAAAAAGGTAATCGGAAATCAAAATCAGCAGCAAGCTTTCACAGCCTCCATGAAGAAAAGTCAGTGTTAGAGTGGCAGGGATGTGTCACTGAAGCTCCTCCAAGTGGTGCTTACTAAGCCAGAGGATACATCTGAATCATCGATTCAGCTGAAGATCTTGGTGGGAAATCTTTCTTCAGACATGGAAATGGAATGCAAAATGTATATTCATTTTAAAGAGAAGCCCAAGGCTCTAACAAAATTTCAAGCTTGTGGTCATCTGCTTTGGGCTAACTTCCACATGCCCCACTCTTCTCTGTCTTTAGGTCATTGTTGAGGGGAAAAGGTTAAAAAGCACTAATAATAGGAACAACACTGGACAGAAAATCTGGGACCTGAATTCTTGGCTCAGTTATGTCACTACAGGTTGAGCATCCTTAATCTGAAAATCAGCTATCCAAACTACTCCAAATTTGCGTGCTGATATTGGCGGTCAAAGGCAATGCTCATTGGAGCATTTCCGATTTTCGATTTTTGGATTAGGGATGCTTAGCCAGTTGTATGTCGGCAGACATTGCAAAATCTGAAATCCAGAACACTTCTGGTCCCAAGTATTTTGGATAGGGGATACTCAATCTGTATCTAAATGACCTACTCCACCTTGTAAGCTATCCGTTGTAGACCTCAGTTTCTTGATTTATAAACTGGAGATAGTCTCATCTGCTTCTCAGGATTTTCTGTGGATTAAGTGAGATAAAATATGGAAAATGCCCAGTGATGAATAAAAATTTCATTTACCTCCTTACTGGTTTCACGAAATCAGGGTGTGTGAAATAAAAGAATTATAAATATTTTTTCAGGTTCAACAAAGAATAACAATGGTAACTATTAAAGCTACCATTACTGATACCTATTTACCAGATGAGAATTTAATTTAATTATAAAAATTCTACATAGTCAATATTATAGGAAATAAATTTATTTAGAGAGGTCCATGTCATACATATAAAAAGTTACAAAGATGGAATTCAAACCAATCAGTTTCAAAATGTGGGTTCTTTTCAATACAATGTGCTATAAGAATGTATCAAATGGCACAAAGCACAGAAGTTCATGATAATTTTGTTATATCTCTCCAACCAAGTTTGATCTCGAAGGAAAATGGATCGCATCACTTTAGTCCTTGAAAATAGAGTCACCCATAGCCATGGTACAAATGATCTAGGCTGGCCATGGTGGTTCATGCCCGTAATCCAAGCACTTTGGGAGGTGAAGGTGGGTGGACCACCTGAGGCCAGGAGTTCGAGACCAACCTGGCCAACATGGTGAAACTACATCTCTACAAAAAAACGAAAAATGATCTGACTCCCTACTTCCCTAGGAACTCACACTCACTTGAATATCTACTTGAAAATGCCTCACATATTCTCAAAGAGTGGAGAAGAGATGTGCTTTATGTAAGTACTGCCAGCTTGAAGGAAGCAAAATGAGCTTTTAATTTTGAATATTTGCATTCACATCTGGGTTTATGAGATGGGATTATTTACTGCCCTCAATGATCTAGGCAGGAAGACTATGGAAGAATAAGGACTAACCCAACTGAGACATTTTCTAAAAACTGTTTGCCAAAGAACTCCACTCACATTTTTCAAAAGCAGGAGGCATCCATAACTTATAAGGTGAGATAAATTTGGAAAAAAAGAATTTGAGATCTACTTAGATGATGTTAATAAAAAACGGGTCTAATTTAGTTTCTGAGCAGCAATACAAACATGCAGTGACAAAGGGCTATAAATTTAGATTTTTCATCATCTAAGGCATGGAACACCCTTAAAAAGGAGTTTTCAATCTATTGCTTCATGAGTATAGAAGTACAACTAGATAACATTTGTAAAATAAAGCTTAAATCACTTATCAGTTTGAGCCTAGACAGAATGTGATACATGCATGTTAATATTGCTAACATATGAAAATACCAACAGGCTGACTAAAAAGATCCTGATTAAATTAAGGCTACATTTTATTCATATTGTTCCAGAGTGAATGATAATATTTTTCCAGGGCAATGGTAACATTTTTCCAGGGCAAATTGCTTTAGAAAAGGAACTTGATCAGAAAGTTCCCATTGTAGAGCAATTGTTTGGGTGTCTTGAGCTCATATTGGACCACATTGGACTGAAGTCCACTGGCAGTGAGGAAAGTCTGCAACATCTCTGAAGCCCAAGTCTCCTTTGACACCATTCTTAGAAGGGATGGAAGATACGAGTCACTATCATGGTTCTTATTCCCACACTCTGCTAATTTTCAATCTCCTGCCTCGGTAGGTTACACATTGTAAAAGCACTCTTGGTGGATCCATGTCTTCAAAAAACCAGGGTCACTCCTTCTAACTTCTTTTTATCAGTTCTCTCTTAGGTAGAAGTAGAACTTTAAAACCATTGCTAGAATCCTATTAGCTTGAAACCGCACTGACTGCCTTTGTGAATTCCCCAATCCCTTAACAAAGACTAACACTTTGTTCATCAGTGTCTTCAGTCCCTGCTGCTCTGCTCACAGATGTTGGCTCTCTGTGAATTTCTGAGAAGTGTATCACACTGATTGGTACTACCCAATCCCCTTCCCCATTCCATGAAAAAGCCCTTTAATTCAGAAATGTAGAAATATATACAACACTGCTTCATATTGCTTTGTATTATACTGATTCAGATAATACTGTGAATCAAATAATGCTTATCTAAATATAACTCTATATGATAAAAATCAATATAAAAAGAAGATGTTTTACCTAAAGAATAGTATGCTAGTCTCTAGCTCCAACACCAACAAAATGGTCTTTATGTGATTGCTGCCAGTGGTTTTAGAGAGAATATTTAAATAAAGCACATCTACCACTCAAAACAAAAAGTTTATTCAGCTTCTTCATGAATATGAAAGTTGCTTCTTCATAACCACGAATCAGAATGATTGACAACTCATTGAGGTCATGCAAACCCAAGAGGGTGTTTCTCGGACTCCTTATTCTGGAGGCCTGAATGAACTGTGATGTGACATCATAGCTCAAAAGTAAAAAAAAAAAGTCAGTGGGATAGAATTATCTTTCCTTCACAGGCCACAGTCCCATGGTCCCCAGTTTAGAGGGCAGTACCAATTCCTTTAGGCTGTTCTCCTTAATGCCTCAGGGTGTCATGTGTCTCTGCTTCCCCAAATCTGTGTTTAATAATAATGAAAAGCTGTGATATCAGAGTCCACTTGGGATTGAGGGTATCTAACTTCCCAGGCTAGGCCTTAACTGCTCTACTTCCTGCTTATTTTTTGCCAGGGAGGGTACGGCGGAAACGCTAAAAAGTAGCTTATTTATACGCCTTCTGCCCTAGACATCGCTGGTGGTAACTGGTATAAATGTGGTACAAAAATGGATGTTTCTTAAAAGAAATCATTGTAGTTTAAATGTATACCTTTGAAAATCATGGCACACCCTCCATAGAAACAACTTTGAGTGTTCCCTGGTGACATCTTAGTAAAAAGGATTTAGGGTATCGTTATGGGTGAGATATAAACTTTCTCCCTCCTTTATTTATACACGTATACCTCATATATGGGTATATGTGTATAAGGAAAGGAGGGAGAAAGTTTAGAGAAAAAAGGAAAATTAGTGTCATCTGGAAGCATTTAGAACCTGTAGTATTTGGAACTAAAACAAAGGAAACTTGGCATAAAAACAGAATAACCATGATATAAATATCTATAAATATAGCTAAATTTAAGACAATTAATATTTACCATATCCAATAAAAGTATAGGGTTAGTGTTCTTCTTCTTCTTTTTTTTTTTTTAATTATACCAACCTTTGTGTCTTTTCCAAAGACCTTGGAATGAAAACAAATCCAGTTTTCTGATACAAAGAGCTTTCCTTGGTATAGTATTTCTTTCTGTAGTGCACAGGTAAAGCCTAGGAGAATATACAGAGATATAGCATCATTTAGAATTTCCATTTAAAATTAAAACTGTGTATATATTTTAGTGACTCAAGGATGGGCAGAGATAATATATTCATACTCAAAAGTTCTATTGCCTCTTCTTCAGTCTTCTTTGTGGGAAGAAAGCTATGGCGACCAGGTCATGGCAGGAACCCAGCATCTTGCCTTAACTTTTGCACATCAAGAGAGACTAGAATGGAACGTCGGGCCCCTTGAGGAACCACTGCAGAGCCCATTAGGTGTGTTTAACTTGCATACTGGGCAAGATATTTAGGTGACCATCACACCCTTCACAGTGGCATCAGCACATGTCTGTCCATGTCTAAGGATGTGAGTTTTCTTTTAGCCTTCTTCTAGTGACCTCTGTTGCCCCAGGCTTGTTATTCTAAATCTTAAAGCAATCTAACATGTGTATTTCAGCAATAAATAAAGAAGGGAAGGGTATCATGGAACCATCTTGGGTGACTCCATACCCCATGGAGAACTGTTTCTCTTTCTCCTCTCTGATCTTTTCACGCTGCCTGATGAAAGCTGACTGAAGCTGGTGTTATTGTTATGTCATGACTTTCAGAAACCTGATCCCCTGGGTGACTCAGTCCGTTGACTATGCTCTCTTTCTTCCCCAGAACTAATTATCATCTTTTCAAATATGTAGCTAAAAAAGTCAAACGTCAGAACTTACTTTGCCTCAGTGGTTCCTCCGTTGGAACATTAAGAAACAACTTGTGAAAGTGCATATTGGCCTTGTACTACAATGAGAACAAAAGACAAGCATCACTACTCTCATTTTCTTGTGGAACATCACAAATTTTAGCTTCAATAACAAATTTCCCCTCCCTTAATAGTAACTTTAGGAATTCCTTCTCACTGATCTTACAGTCTCTGACACAAGCCTTCAGGAAAACATAGTGAAAATTAGGGCATACAACTTTCATTTTCTAACAAGTTTAACGCTTTGCTGGTTGGATATAATGATGCAGCTGCTGGTCAGCCTACTGCCAAGGTAACAGGGCTGGACAAGGATGTCCCTGATGAGAAATGGGATGAAATTCTAAGGAGTCTCATTAGGGAAGGTACTGAATCCCAGGTCCTAAAGGTCCCAGTAAGTACTCTCAGAAGAGTACAGTGGTTAAAAGCTTTGCAATCACGTAAGGCTGAGTTGAAGTCTTGGCTGTAGTGGCTTTACTTCTTGGTGTGTGACCATGGCTTAGTCACTTCATCTCCCTGGGTCTTGGTTTCCTCTTCTGTACTAGAGAGCAAAAACAGTACCTGCCTCAGGCTTAAATGGGATAATATACCTAAAGGACCTATAGTCTAAGGCAACATATGGCCACTCTTCCTACTGTATCATTTTGTAAAGGCATTTCCCTAGCCAGTGACAGGAGTAGGATACAGTAGGCTACTGTCAAGACAAGTAGGATTTCATACGAAGATTTCACTCTCCAGGGCAGCAGGCGGACCAAGACTGTGAAATGTTGCAAATCACTTCATCTTCAAGGGATCTGTTTTCACAACTGTGACAATAACAATGGATAGCCAGCAATTCACAGCTTGTAAAACACTTTCACCTGCACCATACAGCTATTAAGAGGTAGAACTTTTAGCTGAACATGATGGCTTGTGCCTACAGTCCTAGCTACTCAGGAGGCTGAGGTAGGATCTCTCTTGAGCCCAGGAGTTCAAGGCTACAGTGTGTTATGGGGTAGAACTGGGTATTCCCTCCACAGACTCAATCTGTCTCACAGGATGCTTCTGAAGGAAAATTCTTTTTTTTTTTTTTTCAAAGGGAGTTTTGCTCTCGTTGTCCAGGCTGGAATACAATGGTGTGATCTCAGCTCATTGCAACCTCTGCCTCCCAAGTTCAAGCAATTCTCCTGCCTCAGCCTCCTGAGCAGCTGGAATTACAGGTATGCGCCACCACAGCTTGCTAATTTTGTATTTTTAGTAGAGATGGGGTTTCTCCATGTTGGTCAGGCTGGTCTCAAACTCCCGACCTCAGGTGATCTGCCTGTCTTGGCCTCCCAAAGTGCTGGGATTACAGGCATGAGCCACCATGCTCGGCCTCAAGAAAAAATTCTTATAAGGAGAATGGGTAGGAGGTCCTGGATGCCTTATTATTCAAACCAAGAGTGGTCTCAATGGCAAAACTGGCCGTATTTTGCCATAAAGAACTATAGACCAGGTCATCAAGATGATAGATGGTCCCTGCAAGTCAGCTATTTTATAGATAAACACCTTAAAGAAAGATACCTTGATTAAAGCTAGGTGTTCTGTGGGGCTTCACTGAGCTTTTGTTTTTAATGGCTACAGTGAGCAATGGATGCACACTTGATTTAAAATATACTAGCCCATAAACTATTCAAAAATGTCAGTGTAATAAAGGGCCAAAAAGGTAATGGGGCTGATCTGAATTAAAAGGGACATAGCAGGGCTGAGTGTGATATCCAGAAAAGTAATCTGAGATTACTTATCACATGCTTGTAATCTCAGCACTTTGGGACACCGAGGTAGGCAGATCGCCTGAGGCCAGGGGTTTGAGACAGGCCTGGCCAAGATGGCGACACCCTATCTGTACTAAAAATACAAAAATTAGCTGGGTGTGCTGGTTTCACCTCTGTAATCCCAGCAACTCGGGTGGGTGAGGCATATGAGAATCACTTGAACATGGGAGGTGGAGGTTGCAGTGAGCTGAAATTGTGGTAAAAAGAGCAAGACTGTCTGGAATAAAAAAAAAAGAAAAAAGAAAAAGAAAAGATAGCAAATACATGCAGTATGTGACTCTTGATTGGATCCTGGAGAGGAAAAAAAAGCCTTTATAAAGGACATTTATTACTGGGACTACTATGGAAATTCAAAAGTGGATTTTATATTAATGATATTTTAATACATTTCATATTTAAATTTCTTGGGTTTGCTGATGGTTTTCGGTTTAGCTCTTAGGAGACACATGTTCAAGTATTTAGAGAAGTGAAGAATAAAAAAAAAAAAACCCAAACTCCTGTCCCCAGTACATGTATCGCACTCTCTGATGACATACAACTGGGCTTTGTTTCCTATCTGGGTACATTTTAGAGCAGAACCAAACTTAGTTCTGGAGGAGGATCCTTACCCTGTTCAAAGGTCTGACTCCTCCATGTGCAGTTGGCTGGCCTACTATTCAGGCAGGTGCCTTCTCATATTCTTCAATTTCAGTACAAGGATGTCACAACTCCCCTTGTCCTGCTAAGTACTGGATAAGCACATGACTCTGTGTTCGTTCCTGATCTCTGGGTGTCTGTCAGAGTTCAGGGTCACAGCATGGAACTCACTATCATGCAGTGTGCTAAAAGATGAGTGTGGAATATAACACTGATGAAAAATGGACTGGAGGAACTGCTGCCTGTTTGTTCTTCTAAATTCTCCAAACTCTGTATTAGTCTTGACCAGCAGGAAGGTGCATACTTGGGTTCCTTCTTGTCACTGGCTTCAATAGTCCTGTTACCCTCTAAGACAAGACAAATTCCACTCTCAAATTACCTGGCTGGAAGAGGAAGACTTTTTCCTTTCAGTCTTAGGGTCATTTTTGCTTTCTGTTTTACAGTCGTTCTTATCACCTGCTAAAGAGGCACCATCAGAACTGGATTTTGACCTAAAGAAAGAAAGTCCAGGGTGTCTGTAAGATAATTTTTTTTCTCAAGACAAGAGTCTTGCTGTGTTGCCCAGGCTGAAGTGCAGCAGCACAATCATGGCTCACTGCAACGTCCCCATCCTGGACTCAAGTGATCCTCCCACTTCAGCCTCCCGAGTAGCTGGGACTACAGGTGCATGCCACTATGCCCAGCTAATTTTTTGTAGAGATGGGGTTTCACCATGTTGCCCAGGCTGGTCTTGAACTCCTGGACTTAAGCAATCCACCTGGTTTGGTTTCCCAAAGTGCTGGGATTACAGGTTTGAGTCACCACACCCGGCCTATGAGATACATTTTTTATGCTACTCATTAATTTACTGTCATAAGTCTTGATTATGATACTATCTTCCAAGAAAACCTGACATTTGTTTTTCCTTTCTGGATATCAAAAATCATTCATGATACTCTGAGGGCATTTACACAGCACATACTTTAGGACACTGGAATGATTTCAGCAGGCTGTAATCAAAAACTGTAGAAATAGTAACTTATAGAGGGTGAAATAACAAGTTGTGAAAACAATCATGTCATTTTAAAAGTATTTTAATCAGTATTTAAAAAGGAGTACTTGAGGCAAATTACTAAACGGTATTTCAACTATAGTTCAATCAAAGAGTATTTTTGTTTCAGAATTCCACTAATATTTAACAAGTATTAATTGAGTGGGGCATTGTGTTAAATGTCTTAGGGCCCATAAGACAGTCTTTATCCTTCTTTTCCTTTTTGAGATGGAGTTTTGTTTCCCAGGCTGGAGTGCAGTGGTGTGATCTCAGCTCACTGCCACTTCTACCTCCCGGGTTCAAGCAATTCTCCTGGCTTAGCCTCCCAAGTAGTTGGGATTACAGGCACCCACAATGCCTGGCTAATTTCTGTATTTTTAGTAGAGGCAGGGTTTCTCCATGTTGGTCAGGCTGGTCTCGAACTCCTAACCTCAGGTGATCCGCCTGCCTTGTCCTCCCAAAGTGGGCCACTTTTATTATAGGTGTGGGTTACTGAGCCCGGCCTCACAGTCTTTATCCTTAAGGCGCCTGTGTACACACGCATCAAACACTTTTTAAAATAGGTAGTACGTGATTTAGTACCAAAACAATATATATTATAGGAGTTAAAGGAAGATATGGAGCCAATAAGTCTATAGGCTCCATTACAGGAGGTAAGAGAAGAGGAGAACAATAGAATAATGAGGACTTAAAATGCTGGGCCCAACAGGATAAGCAAGAATTGGGTATGAGGAAAAAAAAGACAAAACATCTCAGATTGGGAATACAATAAAAGTGAAATCAGAATTAAAAACAAAACGAAAAAACATGTTTGAAGTCAAATCTTTCTTCTTTCTCTCAAGGACAGAGGTCAGAGTTCCAGAGTTTCTTTCCAAGGTGATTCTAGTCCTGGTTGTCCATTTTAGTAGATGTGTACATTTGTACATATCTTCAACCCTAAGGCTAAAAGCAGTCATTTCAAAGTGAAATGCATGGATGATTTTTAGTTATATATGAGAATAAGTTTTATGATTATGAAGTTGCTTTATTGTTTACTGGGAAAAAACAGCACATAAAATCCATGATTTCACAATATTGTCCCTTAAAATGAGGTTCAGTTAAAAAAAAAGTTGGTTCAAAGTGGATTTAAGAACAATCTGAAGTAATTCAGGTGGTATATGGGTGTCACACAGAAACAGAAATGACTGAAGTTAGAGAATTAGGCTCTGGTTTTCTCAGCTGTGAAAAGATAGACTACATGACGTCCTAATTCACTTCTAGCCACAGCAGTGTATGATTCCACAATGTTCAAATCACAGGTCAAATACCCGTCAGCAGCTCAACGTAAATGTATTTAATTTCAGCTACAGGCCATTGAAACTGTATATTCACAGATGTGAATTCCTTAGGAATTCTAGGGATTACTTTTTTTTTTGGAAGCTATGAAAAAACATTTGTTCTCTATTTGAAAATAAAATTATTTGTACAAATGTCAATTTACCTTTTATTTATACTATTCACAGGTTTGAATACATCACCTCTACTGATTCAAATTAACAAATGTTAATGGAATTGCCAAGGAAATGATCAGACTGAAGATCCATGGACTGCAAGCAAATGTGAAAAACAGGTGGCTCTACCGTTGAAAATTTCAAAAGACACAAACAGTAAGTAGGCTCGTCTGCATGACACTGACCCCTGTGGACCAGGTACACATGTATAGAATATTGATTTCTTTGGGTCTTTTCAACCGTGTTAGTCTCACTTTCTACAGGTGACAAGAAGCCCAGTGTAAAATGAAAATGTGGGGTCCCTTATATAAAAATTGTTACTATTAATTAATTTTTGAGGCACAGTCTTGCTCTTTTGCCAAGGTTGGAGTGCAGTGGCACCATCTTGGCTCACTGCAGCCTCCACTTCCTGGGTTCAAATGATTCTCCTGCCTCAGCCTCCCAAGTAGCTGGGATTAAAGGCACACACCACCACGCCTGGCTAATTTTTTTATTTTTAGTAGAGGCAGGTTTTCATCACGTTGGACAGGTTGGTCTCAAACTCCTGACCTCAAGTTATCTGCCTGCCGAGGCCTTCGAAAGTGCTGGGATTACAGATGTGAGCCACGACACCTGGCCCCCTTACATAAAAATTATTAAGTATTTCCAGATAGCAAGAGGGAACCATTAAACCAAGTGTGGGCCCTTTCCAACTGCACAGACCATATGCCCATGAAGTTTAGCAAGCATGCCCTGTGAGAGTGTATTATTTTTACTGACACCTGGGGAAGTTGGAATAAAACCAACAGTGTTTTCAAGGTGTCTGCCATAGTCAGCCAACAGTGGTAAAAGATACAAGAAATAACATGCCTTGTGCCTTTGTGAAGAGAAGTATTAAGTGAGGCTTTGAGGGGAAACAATTAGAGGAAAAAAATGGTTAAAGTTAGATTTCAGTAGGGTGTGGTGACTCATGCCTGTAATCCCAGCACTCTGGGAGGCTCAGGCAGGCGCATCACCTGAGGTCAGGAGTTCAAGACCAGCCTGGCCAACATGTTGAAACTCTGTCTCTACTAAAAATACAAAAATTAGTTGGGTGTGGTGGTGCACGCCTGTAGTCCCAGCTACTGGAGAGGCTGAGGCAGGAGAATCGCTTGAACCTGGGATATTGCAGTGAGCTGAGAATGTGTCACTACACTCCAGCCTGGGTAACAGAGTGAGACTATCTCAAAAAAAACAAAAAAACAAAAAAACAAAAACTGCCACAAAACAGACATGCAGAAAAGATAGAGAGATAATTGGGAATTAGAGTCAGAAGAGGACAATTTGGGGAGGAGTTAAGACTTCTGGTCCTGAATGAAGCATATATTTGGAGAGAAGGTATGGGCTGGGAAGCCAGGAAGGAAGCAAAAAGTGGAGTTAATAATCTTTTAGCAGAGACCAAAAGAAGTAGAAGGTAGCAGCTCTAAAAGTTCTAATAATGGGGAGGACAGTAATGATTTCTCTACTTAGGTTAGATAACTGCACTTTCCCATCATACACTATTGGTTTAACCACTGTCTTTTAAGGGCCCCAAAGCAACTTTAGTCTCTGATTGGTAGTTGGTGCCTCTGACAATGATGGGGCTACAGCTACATATCTCAAAACTGCCTCTCCCCTCCCCTCCCATGACCAAACCAGCCCTCCCTCTTAGCCCGTCACAGGAAACTGGTAGCCTGGTGAGTCCCTGAGATGGTGGTTCTTTTCTTTAGCTTTTTTCATGGCTCCCAAGAGCCATGAGGCTGGGCAGACACTCCAACCTGGCCAGTTTTCCCAGGTGCTTTATAAACCTATGTCTGAGAGTGGGTCACCCTGGCTTCATCACTCAGCAAAATCAGGGCTTTCAGAAGGCCAGGAGCTCAAGGAAAAATGCTTATGCTTTCTCATGGGTGTGTACTATTTGTCTATAGTATTAATACATCCTCACTCTTAACAAAAAACCCCTGCTCCTCCCATAATGCTCTCCCAAAAAGACAAAAGAGAACAAAGAGAATCAATTAAGGATTTACCGTAGGCTAATGATTTTCTTCTGGTCTGGGGAGTCCGCCTCCACAGATGGGGTAGGGGATTGGGCTGTCGGCGACTTGCTGGCTTTCTTTTTCTCCTCCACACCATTCTCAGCCTCTGAGCTGGAGAAGAAAGGAAAACGCTTCATCTTAGACTTTCAGAGATAGCTGGAAGGAAAACAACAAGAAACCTGGCTTTCTAGGGAGTGGAATGATTTTCATTCCCCACTGATAGGCTAGTTAACTTTGGCAGCTAGGCCCTTTCCCAATCTCCATTCTAACCCCTTGCCTGGTGCCCCACAGGCAGTAGCTGAAGGTCACACCTGTTTCACCTGTAAATGCCAGACTGTGTGGACCTGCTGGCTCCCAGGTCTGTGTTGCCCAGCTCTGCTCTGCGTAGGCTGTGCTGAAGCAGCAGATCACCTGGAGCATACACACACTCCTCCACCTGGGAGGGCCCTGCACATACACACACACACACACGCACACGCTCGTGTGGCCTCCTGCAGGTGTGAGCCTTCCTGCTGGGAACCCCCACCCCTTTTGTTTGCACTTCTGTCACTTACATGTTGTTTAACCAAGCAGTTCCCTAAGCAATGTACAGTCTCTAATCTTTACAACCACCCAGACTAGGTAGCAATTATTACTCATTTAATAGATGAGGAATCTGAGGCTCTTGCTATCTTGCCCGAGTTCACAGAGCTAGCATCTATCTTACTTGAGATTCAAACTCAGTATGTCTGTCTGCAAAGCCTTTGTGTTCTCTCTCTCCATCCATTTCCCCAACCACCTACCCATCCATTTATCCCCATAATTAACTCTTCAGTGTGAGAGCTCCAGGATGGGGTGGGAACCTTATTCATCTTTGTCCTAACCACAGCGTCTAGGATAGTGTTGACCTACAGTCATGATGAATAAGCTTTGGAAAAACTAGGTCTGACCTTGGTAAAAGAAAGGGTGGAAGGGAGGAGAGGGGAGGTGAGTCAAGAGGGTTTGTGCATAGAACCAACAAATGGAGACAACCAGCATGGGCTCCCTCTGTCGACCGGTGAAGATCTCTTGGGAAGCAGGGGAAACTATTTCCAATGGGAAAGTAGGAAAGGAAGGGATGTTGAAGGAAGAATACAAAATATTATTTATGGAGCAGAACTTCTTCGGTGTGTCAGCTCAGTGAAACACAAACCATACTTATGAGGTTGTGAAGACTCCATGGAGACTGAGCATAAAGACAGACATATTAAGATGGCATTGCGATGAGAGATTACCTAATTTTTATTCTCATTTACCACCTATTTGGTATTCTCACCTGCATATGACTGTGCAGGCAGGAAATGCCACTGGTTAGTTTAAGCTGTGTGGCTGCTTTGCTGACCACTTTTCATAGCATATGAATGTTGCAGAATATGTGAGGAGTCCTATTGTAGCGTCAGAATTAAGGTCAGTATATCTGATAAGGATATCTGACTAATAACTCCTACAAATGCTTAATGCTCTTTTTTCTTTCTTTCTTTTCTTTTCTTTTTTTTTTTGAGACAGTTTCACTTTTGTTGCCCAGGCTGGAGTGCAGTGACATGATCTTGGTTCACTATAACCACTGCCTCCTGGGTGCAAGCGAGTCTCTTCCCTCAGTCGCCCGAGTAGCTGGGATTACAGGTGCCCACTACCACGTATGGCTAATTTTTGTATTTTTAGTAGAGACAGCGTTTTGCCCTGTTGACCAGGCTGGTCTCAAGCTCTTGACCTCAGGTGAATCTGCCCACCTTGGCGTCCCAAAGTGCTGGGATTACAGATGTGAGTCACCATGCCTGGCCAAATGGTTGATGCTCTTAATTTTGTGGTAAGCATTTCTCTTTTCATAGTAGATACATATCTAAGGGCAGAGGTCCAACCTTCTATTTCTTCAATTCTTCTCAAAGCACTTAAAACAGTTGCATACATTAAAAGGGCTCAGTCCATAACAGAATTGCATTATGTGACAAAGGTACATGGAAGGCCAAGGCCTTGAAATATTATTAGGAAAACTCCGTTTTGGTTTAAAATAATAATTGGACTTTATTAACTTAGCACCAAGTTTAGCTTGTGGACTCAAAGAATTTTAGAACAGTAAAAGGGGCCTTAGAGCACATCTCTGCCTTTTTTCTCTACCCCCAAGACACATACACACATGTCTTCTCTTCAAAAGATTCAGGCATAAATCTACTTGAGAAGCCCTCTTTAAGTAGAGATTGCATATAGAACTTCAATAATCCATCTCAACATTCATTCAGATGTTTACTGAATTTTATGCAAGATTGGATTAAGACTTGGAGGGAGAGCCAGAGCTGTCCTGTGCAGTATCTTTGTGTGCACAGAGCCACTCTAGAAAAGGTACTTCTGGCAGGGATAAGGTGCTCCTTGCTCTGGGCAGAAATGGCCCAGCACTAAGGTCAGAAAGCAGCAAAACTGAGGCTAGATTTCAGCCCTTTTTTGACCCTGACCCATATTGGTCAGGCATTTTTGTGCAGTGCTGGTGACTAACTGCTGAACCACATGAGGTGGTCCCGTTTCAGGACCCCTAGCTGAGCACTGGAAAGATTACAGTGCACGCCTCTATATTGTCCTACTCAAACAATACGTTCAGTCTTTCAAGGACTGAACATATAGTTGTACTCAAAGTGGCCTCTTTCTAGATAGTCTCCACTTCACTTCTTAAACTTGTGGCTTGTCTTCAGCACTGGTTCTCTCCTTGAAGGCCCTAGCCAGGGGCCACATCCTCCACATCACTTAAAAGTCTCCATGCTGGCTGCTGATTTTATAACTCACTAGGCATCTAATCAATTATTGCCTTGTACTGGTCCCTTTTCTCCCCAAAATCTGAGTTATCCAGCACTAGACTAAGTTCCTTAAAGGCAGGGAATGACTGTTTTTTTCCACAGCATTCAGCTTAGCATTTGCTCATAGTGGTGATTTATACATTGAATGATGTGGATTAACTATTTAGTAGCTCAAAGAGGAAGTGAAATTCATCTATGGGTCAATTCGATTTTAGGTTTTTGCTTACTTAGAGATGCTACAGGCTCAAGCAAGTTAATGCCTCACACAGGCGAGATTATTCCTACAAGCGTCCCTTACCTTGGAGGTCTTGTCAGCAGGAAACTGAAACTATGTAGAATTCAAGCAGCAGAGATCAGCCTGTGTTTGAGTGAGCAGTGTGGGAGGGGAAATGGAATGCTTCCTCAAGGCCTTTTGGAAACTCTAACCTTACTGTCAAGGAAGGTGAACGAGACTTCTCAGTAACTTTAAAGTTACGGTCAACGAAGCTGAACAGGTTTCATTTAAATCATGAAAATAAGGATATCAATTTTTATTTATTTTTTAACCAGAAGACAAAGCCCTGTTAGGGACTTTGACTGAAAGAGTCAACTGAAAAAAAAACACACCAAAAAACCAATCCTCCTTTTCAATGAATATTTACTGGATTGGTCCCTGCTGTCAGAGTGCTCAGAGCTTTGTAGGTGAGAGAGACAGGTAAGTCAGCTGGCAGTTGTAAGTATCCACAGAAGCAGCAGAAAATGCTGGAGACACAGGACCAAACTTCACCTGGCTTTGGCAGGTTTTATCTCCTCCCATCTCCAACCCAATTTAAGCATCAGTTATGGTCCCCACCTGAAAGCTTTTTAGTAGAAATTTCAAAGCAGTGAGACAGTCATGCTTATACCAACTAAACCTGACTTCACCTATTAGGGGGCAGAGTTTTATTTTTATTAATTTATCTTTTTTGAGACAGAGTTTCACTCTTGTTTTCCCAGGCTGGAGTGCAATGGCGTGATCTCCACTCACTGCAACTTCTGCCTCCCGGGTTCAAGTGATTCTCCTGCCTCAGCCTTCTGAGAAGCTGGGATTACAATTGCCCACCACCATGCCTGGCTAATTTTTGCATTTTTAGTAGAGACGGGGTTTTGCCATCTTGGCCAGGCTGGTCTTGAACTCCTGGCCTTAAGTGATCCACCCGCTTCAGCCTCCCAAAGCGCTGGGATGACAAGCATGAGCCACTGTGCCTGGCCAGGGTACAGCATTTCTATTACCAGCTAGGAAAAGCTTGTTTCAATAAAACATGACCACACACTGTTACACAATTTATAAATAAAAAAACAGGTTGCACAATCCCTATCAACCATCTAATATTTGTCACTGCCCAGACCCCATTCGCTTGATGACGACTTAACAATTTTTCAGAATTAGAACTCTGATGTAGAGTCAACTATCAATCTTCCTGGAGATAGTCTCTGTGAGTTTCAGGTAAGCTCAATGCACCTTTCTCTTGTCACATCACTGGCCCTTTGCCCCTCCTGCTGATAATGTATCATATTCAGGCACCATCACGTGCAAGTCCAAGTAAAGAGGTAGCTGCAGGCAGAAGCTAAGATTAAGCTGTGTCTCAAATGAAGGAAAACAAGTGTTTCACTGTGGTTCAGTCCAAGAAGGTGTGTTCCCTTCTAATTATAGTGACGAGTCCCTGCGTTTGTGTCTACCTACATGTTAATCTAAGCTAAAGGCATAAAAACATGTCACTAAGCTTCCTTATGATAGTAGAAGTAGAGGTAGTTTTACATCTGCTATTATTTAGAAAAAAAAATCTTGGATCATTTTAAAGCCACAGTCTAGACCAACAAAGGTTTAGAAGTGTCTTGAAGATAGGATTTCATCAGAGAGTCTTCATAGGATAAATTCTGGGACATGGGATTGTGTGGTCATAGGTGGAGCTGTGAAAGTAGGGTGTTGCTGAAACCCTATCCTGAAAACCAGGTTGACACCTGGATCTGCCAAGACCTGGGGCCTCATAGACCTTTGTTTTCAGAGTGCTACCTGCTCAGTGGCTCCGTGGCTGGCAGATACATGCCACGATACTTGGGAAGCAAAGAGGTGGGCTATAGAGATGAGAGAGCGCTGGACAGTAACCATAGTACAAATAAAAAGAGGCCTCACAGGGACCAAAAGAAGGAAGTGGAATGGAATGTAGAAGTGCAAGAGTGGGCAATGGAGACAGGATGGCTGGGGAACACTTTAGCTTCTCCAACTTCATAAACTCAGAATCTCCCAAATTAGATTTCTAAGTCAAGAAGGATGACCTTTCATTTACAATT